AGATGGCAAGAGCTATTCAACAGGGAAATTTAGGTTTGTTTGGGTTAAATGGAACAGCTGAAAGAAGAAATTCCTTTGTTAGGATGTATTGTCATTGACCATCAAAGGGCAAACCAATTTGTCAAAGAGCAGCAAATTAATCTATCACAGAAAATAATTCTGCTAGCTTAACCACTGCATTCTAGAAGAAAACTTGTTACTTTTTCCAAAACATTTTCCCTGCTGAGAATTAAGAAGAGTTATTAAATTTGAGAGAATGTACATGGTTCAACACACAAACACAGCATATTGAGGGGAAAAATGTACTGTTTCTTCTCTCACCTTCCCTCCCTCCTGCCCTGTCTGGATAAAATGTGATAGGCTAGGACATGCTGTAATTTGTTTCAAAGATAAATTATGTGGCAATTTATTCCAAAGGACAATTGGGTGACTAATCTCCTACCATTTCTGACACACAGCTGTAGTAAAATGCAGATCAGGTTGGTTGTTTTAACAGAGGGATCATTTAATTTGCTTTTTTATTTTCAGCTAATGAAATATTTGTGAGCCTCCTGGCATGTGATAACATATTTTCCTATGTATAAAAGTGTTTAGCCAGATGTAGTATTTGATTTGATTTACAGGCACATCCAAGAACAAGATAAATGGTGACATGAACTCCAGTTCTAACTATTTCTGTTCCCTCATACTCTTTTATCAGCATACAGGGACTGTTTAGATTCTAGGCACCAATCCATATATTTAAACATTTAGTACTAATAAGGTGTAATTGGCATGGAATCCAAGCATACTGGCTCTCTTAAGATTGTTATGTCTTAGAAATGTTTTTGTGAAAGCATCAAATGCAGAAAACGAAGTACTGTATGGTGAAACTGCTGTATCCCTGGAGGATACAGTCCAAGAATGGCCATGGATACTTGAAATTGTGGTTAATGACAAACCCTATATTTTGACTATACTTGAACTTGAAACATAATGTATAATTGATATAGAGAACCTAGAGGGGTCCACAGTAATCTCTGGTAATGGTGGGATGATAATTTTGGAGCATGTTTAAGTAATATGGTGGCTATTGAATCTATGGAGAAAAATCTGTAAATCAAAGCTCCTGCCTAATGATGTGAGATAACAGCATAACTTCTAGAATATTGGTCTCCTTTGTGTAAGCTTTAACTGTTTATTGATTTCATGGTTCTAGACAATTCAGCGCAAAATTAATATCACAGAGAAGAAACAAAAGGACAGCAATTGGCATTAACTTAATGTGGTTTTGACCAAGGCAGAATAATACATGACAATGCGGCACACTGACTCAGCACCCATAAAGAGAAGCATATACTGCATCATCTTGTAGAACTCCATGGCCTATGTGTGAACTTGGTTTTAATTTTTTTAATACCTTCTGATACATTTCATCATTGTGTTCCCTTTGGGAACTTTTTGTTGTTTATTTGTTCAGTCGCTTCTGACTCTTCATGACCAGCCCACGACAGAGCTTCCTATTGGCTGTCGCCACCCCCAGCTCCTTCAGAGTCTGGGAACTTATGCAGTATTTATGCATGTTGTTTGAATTCTTGTGTTCTTAATACAGTATTTACTCAAATCTAACACTCACCTTTTTTAGTTAAATGACCTCTCCAAACTTAGGGTGTGCATTGGATTTGCGTTCTACAGTCATCTTAGTGCTGAGCCAGAGCCACAGGAGAAGCTGCTTCAGAAGCTGCATCTGGAGCTCCTATTTGAGGGATGTCATGTCTCATTTAATTGCCATGGCTCATGATTGTACAATCCTGGGATTTGTAGTTTGGTGAGGCATCTGCAGTCTTTGGCAGAGAAGACTCTCAAGGCCTTGTCAAACTACTGCCCTCATGATTCCATAGCATTGAACCAAGGCAGTTGAGGTGAATTCATTCTACAGCATAGATGTATCAAAAAGTTTTCCTTTCCATTGCTAGAAGTTTGATGCTCTAATACTTTTTTTAAAAAAAGAAGGAATCCTAAGCAGGCAGCAACTGCAATTAGCATTTTCTTTTTTTTAACCAAATGACAAAGAGTGCATCTTTTGCCTCTGCACTTTACATTTGGCAGCAAATCCTTCTTTTGGTTTCAATGTTTTGGAAATAGACTTGAGTAAAATATGGGGAAGTTCATTCTTTATTGGATCTTTCCATATTCAGTTATTTGCCTTAATCAGGGGAGAATGAGTTTGGTAATCCACCTAGTGCAGTGATTCTTAACTTGTGGGCCATGAGCCACGAGGATGAAAATCTTCCTCTATTTTATTTTATTTTACTTTATTTATTTCTGCTCCTTTCACACCACCTGCTACTCCTTCCCTGTCACTGACCAGCCCGTCCCCTTGGATAGACCACATCAGCTCTAGATTATTAATTATGGTTTTCTGTGGGTGAATGGATGGCGACTACTGGATGACATATGTTCTGTATCAGAAAGAAGAGCTGATGTGGTCTATCCAATGAAATTTTCTGAATCAGTACCTCAAATAACCAAGCCAGATCTAAAATTGTCCAAAAACTGATTTGCAACCCTTTGGTACTAATGGAGAGTGGTCCCTGGTCAAGTAGTCCCTGGTCAAAAAAAAGGTTGGGAACCACTGACCTAGTGGCTATGTTTCTTAAAAGGTTCGAACACACCTTTCTGAAAACAGTGCTCTGCTAAGTCAACTTACATGATTTAAAACGCAAAACATATGCAGTTGATATTCCAAATGCACAAATACTGCCATCGGCAGCTTGAAAATATTTTTCCCCAGAAAATTTCTGAAAAAGCAAACCTTGATTTCACCATTTTATATGAAGGACACCATTGGACATTTGTGGATTTTATCCTCTGGTGATCCTGGAACCAAACCATAGTGGATAGCAAGAGCGCACTGTAATTACAACTTCAATATATATATATAATAAAAGGCTCTAGTGACTGATTTTTGGGGAAAAAACCAAAATTGTGGTACTTGGAGCTGTGTAACAGACAAACAGTGATTATCTTTGTTTTGCACAGGACTCAGCATATATGTTCAATATCGTTTTCGTGGCATAGCAGTCTCTTGAGGCAGAAAAGAGACTGTCATTTGTCAAAAGTCTGTATGTTCCAACATAACAGCAAACATAACAGCGGGCAGATCTGGCGTGCATCACGGAGACCTGGTTGGATGAAGCTGGAGGTGTGAATTTAACTCAGCTTTGTCCTCCAGGGTTCTCTGTGCAGCACCAACCGAGATCCGGAGGGCGGGGAGGTGGGGTCGCAGTGGTCTATAGAGATTCCATCCATCTGACCAGGAGTCCCATCCCGCAGTCAACAAATTTTGAATGCGTCCACCTGAGGGTGGGTGACCGGGACAGAATAGGGATTCTGTTAGTGTACCGTCCACCTCGCTGCACTACGGTCTCCCTACCTGAGCTAGCGGGGGTGGTCTCGAGCCTGGCGTTGGAGTCTCAACGGCTACTTGTGCTGGGAGACTTCAATATCCATGCCGAGTCGGCCCTCACAGGAGCAGCTCAGGACTTCATGTCTGCCATGGCAACCATGGGGCTGTCCCAACAAATATCTGGCCCCACCCACTGTGCTGGACATACATTGGACTTGGTTTTCTGCCAGGGATGGGAGCAAGGTGGCGGTGTTGAGGAGTTGACCATCTCTCCGTTGCCATGGACCGACCATTTCCTGGTCAGTCGCAAGGCCGAACAGGGTATAGGGTTACAGCCTGTGCTGGATGGGGTCGCACTCCCCTTGAAGGCGCAGGTTCGCAGCTTGGGGGTGATCCTGGATTCATCGTTGAGCCTGGATCCCCAGGTTTCAGCGGTGACCAGGGGAGCATTTGCACAGCTTAGGCTCGTGCGCCAGCTGCGCCCGTACCTTGGGAAGTCTGACTTGGCCACAGTGGTACACGCTCTGGTCACATCCCGCCTTGACTACTGCAACGCTCTCTACGTGGGGCTGCCCTTGAAGACGGCCCGGAAGCTTCAGCTAGTCCAGCGCGCGGCAGCCATGCTACTAACGGGAGCGGGACGCAGGGAGCACACTACGCCCTTGTTGTTCCAGCTCCACTGGCTGCCGATCTGCTACCGGGCCCAATTTAAGGTGCTGGTGTTATCCTACAAAGCCCTAAACGGTTCCGGCCCAAAATACCTTCTGACCGCATCTCGGCCTATGAGCCCACGAGGACTTTGAGATCGTCTGGGGAGGCCCTTCTCTCGATCCCGCCTGCCTCACAGGCACGCCTGGCGGGGACTAGGGACAGGGCCTTCTCGGTGGTGGCCCCCCGGCTGTGGAACACCCTCCCTGTGGACATCAGAGTGGCGCCCTCCCTCATGACATTCCGCAAGAGACTAAAGACGTGGTTCTTTGAGAAGGCGTTTGTGTAAGTGCTGCAACAATTGGCAATGACGATTAGAACGGAACATGGATAATGAGATTCGGATTATGATTCAACGATGAGACGTGGCGAATGATTTAGTGTAACTGTATTATTGATAGTGCTGTTGTTTATTGTTGATGTGTAATTGCTTTGTTGAAATTGTACCTGGTTTTTATATGTTGTACACCGCCGTGAGTCGCCCTAGGGCTGAGAAGGGCGGTCTACAAATGTAGTAAATAAATAAATAAATAAATAAAACCAGGCTACAGATCTTGATTTGTTTACCCTAACAAACCTGAGTTCAAACTTTGGCCTGACTTTGATCCTAACCAGAAGTGGAAGAAGCCAGGATTTGAAAACCATGCTATAGTATTATGTCTGCATGATCAGCTTCAAAGCTTAGTTTTTGTTCCAATTCTGAGAACACTATATTGTTTAAAAAACAACTTGAATTCCTTTTCTACCTAGTAAATGTTTCTTCTTGAGGAATATGATAGGAAATACTTATAGCTTGAACTTTCAACTATACTTGTTGGTTGTATATTGTAATGATGGGTTTGCATTTGATTTTGTTGTGTTGTTTGTGATCTTCCTTCATCCTATGTTTTCTGGCCTTGGGCAGGGCAGGTTTACCGCTTCTGTACACTTGAGGGCACATGGCTGCTAGAGGAGAATTCAACAAATCCCTGGCGAAACATTTCTGCCTGTACACTTCCTGATGAAGTAAGTGAGCAAGATTTTGCTTGAAGAACTAGTAGCCTGAATGCAATGTCTTCTCTTCTCAAATACTAAAGCTGCGCTGTTGTATAAATAAATTGTTTTCTTTCAGAGGTGACAGAACCTGTAGTGCTCTTCAAGTTGTTCTGAAATACTCTGATTCTTTCATACGTTCAGTGTAATTAAATCCAGTAACTTGGGCACATCATTCTTATCTTCCGATACTAAAACAGAAGCTGTGAATAGAGAAGGAGACCACTTGACTTTGTGCCACTTAAACAAAACAAGAATTAATGAAGTCATACAATTGGTTTCTCATTATTTCTTCAATTGGGCTGCATGTCACCTCTGAACATTTGGGTGCCCCTCCAAGTATCCATGACTTAATTCTCTGGCAAATAGTGCCCTGCTGCCATTTTAAACAGTGTTGCAAAAGGGACTTTGAACAAGCACGTTTTTTTCAAACACACTTCATGTGTCTCCTGCTTGAAAGCTACATTTTTTTTGCCACCACACTTCTTAATTTTGGCAGTGCAGTAGCAAAGAACGTGCCACCTGATGTCTGCAAGACACTGCAGTTTCTGGTCAAAGGACATTTAACATAATGCCAAGTTTTTAACTTTGTGTTTTTAAATACATTAAAGCTGTATCCAATTCGCTTCTGACACAATTAAACCTGATGTCTAGGGAAATTGAAAAGTCAAAGATAAAGTTACCCATCGTGAATTTAGGAAGATAAAACAGAATAAATAATTTGAGATGGTTGAGAATGGTTGTGTAAGAGATCTTAGTCTTGTAAATGGTTTTTACTGCTGTTATTACTTTGTCGTAAACTGGACCATGTTTTCTTACAACATTTCATTTCACCAAAATGTGCCTTTCCCTCTAATTAATAACTACCTGATCTTTTTGAAATAACTCAGTCATAAAGCATCAGTCTAAACCAAAGGAACTCAGAGATCCAAACTTTATGAATTAGTTGATGTTACATTCAAAACTTTTGCAGCTAGTTTAGCCATTCACAAACAACTAGGTCAAAATTTGCAGTTCTCAGTAGTTGAATTTTAAAGTGTATAAATGCTGCCCATCACATGGAACAAATTATTTTAGGGTCATCCTGTAAGAGCTAGATTATAAATAACTACCAGATAAATCTGATAAATGGAACATTCCAGAGTTAACAATAGACTGCATACAGTCTTAGTTATCTCTACAACAATCTTTCCAACAATTATACCTTATGAAGTAAAACAAAACAAAAACAAAACAAGAAATGTTTTGCCCAGGGCTAATCTATTACTTATTTACTTTATTTATACCCTGTCTTTCTCACCTTAAAGGGGACTCAAAGTGGCAATACAGACACAACAATAAACCAAGCATATCAAACTATAAAACAGTTAAAACATTTAAACAATTAAAACACGTAAAACATTACAGACTGAAATGTGCTGGCCTTTTAAGCCAGTAAAACATCCATCAAAAGTGAGCTTGCAGTGTCCTTTGGACAGAAGGAGTTAGACAACTGGAGCCACAGGATGGTTGGCCACAATATCAGATTACCCAGGCCTAATCTGTCAAGTTGTTGATCACGAAGCATGAGAAGTATTCTGTTTGGGGGAACAGATAGAAGTCAGGAAATGGCAGGATCTCACTAGCCTGACATATAGCTTTCAGGGCCCTTTTACACATGACTAAATCCCAGGAGGAAAATGGGATATTGTATCCCAGTTCCTCCTGGGATTCAGTCCCCATTTCCAACCCAAACCCCATGCTTTCTCTGTAGATGTGGCTGGCTACATGCCCTCCTGGGTCAACCAGCCCCCCTTCCCAGCCTCACATTTAGTCCCTTTTGCAACATCAGTGATGCCCCAGGAGGTTGGGGGGGGGGGTTCCCTCTTCCTCTCTCCCATCTCCCTATACATTATTTTGACATGCCAGGAGCTCTGGACTAGAGGGGTCTGAGCATGCAGCCAGGTGTGTCAGGTAACTTTAGAGGCTAAATGGGAGAGTGGGGGAGCTTTCGAGCTCCTTCAAGCTCCAGGAGCCCAAAGAACCAGGATCGCTGTGGAGATTGACCCCCAGGATTGTGAAAATGTTCCCAGGAGTTAATACCCACAGGCCCAGCACCTCAATAGATCCAGACCTTTAAGTACAGTCAAGATTAGATGAATTGTCAATTTAATCTGGAGTAAACTGGGAAATCTGGAAAATTCATCAGGGATTTTAGAGCCTGTATAGAAGGGCCCTCAGATGTAATATCAATTAACTACAACCAATTCTGGACAATAGCTTTGCTCTCTCAAAGGCTGTTAGTTTACACATCTATAGACAGTATACCACTCTCAAAAAGTTATAATTTGTAAAAAGACATGCAACACAGACAGGGAGATACAAGAGCTTGTAACAAACCCAAATACCAAGCTTTGCCCACTCATCTACTCAGGAAATACCCTCACAAGATCCAAATACATCACTGACATATTACAGGTACTTTTACTTGCTCATCCTTTAACAACGATACTTTTCAGCACCCTACATTGAACAAATAAGTCAGTCTCTGAACCAGAGGATAAACTGACATAAATTAGTAACTGGAATACACAAACACTTATTACAGAACACTTCAGTCTTCTTGACCATTCCATCTTTCATCTAAAAAGATTTGTCCTTGAACAAAAAATCCCCTACAAATCATAAAACCATAGAATAATAGAGTTGGAAGAGACCACATGGGCCATCTAATTCAACCCCTTGCCGTGCAGAAAAAGCACAATCAAAGATTCAGAAGAGTAATATATTTTGAGTATATCCACAAACTGTAGTACATCAACAGTAGATGAACAGAGAGTCTAGCTTCCTGGTATTCTACAGATATCATAATACTAGTTGACAACCCAACCTCATGAGGGCTCTCTTGCCCAGTTTATCACATCTCCTTTCTGGTTCAGAGCCAGCACCACACTATATTCTAATTGCTCACTCTATCATTCATGTGGTTATCTAATCACTCTGGCTTTAGACAACATCTTCTCCTTGCCTTTGGCCCCAACTATTCTTAAAACAAAACTTGTCACTTAATCATCATTCCCACAATGTTTGCTTTTCTGTAACTATCCACACAGGCTGCCTATAAAAGACTGGGCACATTGCTTCGTGCATTTGAGGAAGTAGATTTAAGTCTACAAAAGTTTATGCTACCAACTTATTTCTCTCAGTCTCTAAGGTACTGTGAGATCTCTTTGCATACTAATAATTCTGTACAGCATTGTTGTGTTGCCTATGTTGTTGTAAACAGTGAGGCCGAGAGACAATGCCCACAAACTTCAAACAACATGAAAATTCACCTTCTGTTTCCTTGAAACAGAAGCTTTTCAAGTCCAGCATTCCATTCCCAATGCAGACAAGAAAATGCCTATTGGAAACCCTTAAGCACGACATGAGTGGAATATCCCTCCTATTCATTTTATGCAGCAGTTTTGTATGCAGAACCAATCTGCACCAAGAACTTTCTATAGTTCCTTGGCAAGGATAGCTACTGGGACTGTGAAAAAAATAAATAGAAAACAGAATGGAGAAGAAAATTTGCAAGTTTCAAATTAGGTTAATTGAAATTCAAGAAGTCCCCAAGCTGTCTTTCTTATGCATGCTTTCATTCTTCTCTGAATGTCTGTGGTATCGCAGTGTACTGTGCTCAGAGAAGCGGAACTGCGGTAGTGCAAACCACATGCAGGGCTCTTTTTTCTCTCCATTCACTCTTTAAAGGTTTATTTCACAGTTATGAAGAAGGCTGCCAAGAAGGCAGATGCTTAACGAGAGCGCTTGGCTGTGCAGCACCTGTCTCCTTTTAATAAAAAAGAGAACTTTAGGGGGTAATGATATGGAAATTTTGAATACTGTATGGCATCCTAAAATGTCAATACTTATTTTTATTTTTCATTTTAGCCAGTTTGACCATTTTATTTTCACAGTTCTGGTCACATTTTTGATCTGGTGAAGATCACTATGGTCCTTAATTTTAAAAAACTGGCAACATTGGACTATCTTTCTTTCAAACATATTATACAAAGTAAAATTGCATTGTAAGGTTATCAGTTATATATAATGTTCTAATGTTTAAGCAATGAGGGGATTAAAAAAAATCATAGAATCATAGAGTTGGAAGAGACCTCATGGACCATGCAGTCCAACCCCATTCTGACAAGAAGTAGGAAAATCACATTCAAAGCACCCCTGACAGATGGCCATCTAGCCTCTGCTCCATAGAAGGAGCCTCCATCACACTTTGGGGCTGAGAATTTCACTGTTGAACAACTCTCACAGTCAGGAAGTTCTTCTTAATGTTCAGCTGGAATCTCCTTTCTCATAGTTTGACGCCATTGTTCCGTGTCCTAGTCTCAAGGGAAACAGAATACAAGATTGCTCCCTGTGACTTCTTCTCACATATTTATACATGGCCCTCATCATGTCTCCTCTCAGCCTTCTCTTCTTCAAGCCAAACATGCCCATCTCTTTAAGTTGCTCCTCATAGAGCTTGTTCTCCAGACCCTTGATCATTTTAGTCGCCCTCCTCTGGACACATTCCAGCTTGTCAACGTCTCCCATCAATTGTGGTGCCCAGAATTGGACACAGTATTCCAGGTGTGGTTTGACCAAGGCAGAATAGTGGGGTAGCATGACTTCCCTGGATCTAGACACTATATTCCTATTTATGTAGGTCAAAATCCCATTGTCTTTTTAAGCTGTTGCATTACATTGTTGGTTCATGTTTAACTTGTTGTCCTCCAAGATCTTTTTCACACGTACTGCTATTGAGTCAGGCATCCCCCATTCTGTATTTTTGCATTTCATTTTTTTTCTGCATAAGTGGAGTAGCTTACATTTGTCCCTGTTGAACTTCATTTTTTTTTTTTAGTTTTGGCCCATCTCTCTATTCTGTATAAGATAATTTGTATAAGATAATTTGGCCCATCTCTCTATTCTGTATAAGATAATTTTGAATTATGCTCCTGTCTTCTGGAGAATTAACTATCCCTCCCAATTTGGTGTCATCTGCAAACTTGATGATCCTGCCTGCTAACCCTTCATCAAAGTCTATATTATTAAAGATTTGGAACAGAACTGGGCCCAGGACAAAACCCTGCTTATGGCACTCCACTCGTCTCTTCAAAAATATGCATATGTTTTTAAATTATTAAATTTGTTTCTGATTATTAGAAGAAAGACAGGATATAGATGGTGATGATGATGATGATGATAATGTTGAGCTGCCAAAATATCTGAATATTTTGGCAGCTCAATTACATCAGTAATTCAATTGAAATATTGAATATTGCTAGTGTTAAATCTATCGTTTAACACTAATGGTGATGTGTTATCTTCCTACTACTGTAGTATCAGTGCTTTAGTGCTTAAGAAGGCATAAAAGATCCATGTGTTAAGTTCTAAAACACGGGTAAACAATTTAAAAGAATATATGCTTTGCTGAATACCCAAAAACTCCTTGGTGCCATTTTGCCAAATTTGTGTAATTTCTTCCTCCCAGAACAAGACAAGTATGGAGCATTTCCAAAATATATAGTTTTAAACCTCCAACAATTATCTGATTTAGATAACCCTTACTAAAAAATATGTTATGGTTACCAGGAATTGTGGCATAGAGTTTTTGTTATACAAGATGTAATCAGAGATTCATAGTCATAATTAAAACTGTGTTGTCAAAGGCTTTCATGAACAGAATCATTATAGTGTTGTGTGGTTTCTGGCCTGTATGACCAAGTTCTAGCAGCATTTTCTCCTAACATTTCATTTGCATCTGTGGGTGGCATCTTCAGAGGATCTGAAGATTTTGTTTTTATGTGAGGAGTTACGGGAGAAACTGCGAGTTGCTTCTGGCACGAGAGAATTGGCTGTCTGCAAGAACGTTGCCCAGGGGATGCCCAGATGTTTGATGTTTTACCCTCCTGTGGGAGGCTTCTCTCATGTCCCCGCATGGGAAGCTAGAGCTGATATGGCAGCTCACCCCACTCCCCAGGTTCAAACCACCAACCTGTCAGTTAGCAGTCCTGCCAACACAAGGGTTTAACCCACTGTGCCACTGGGGGCTCCGATCTGAAGATGCTGGGATCTGAAGATGCCAGCCACAGATGCAGGTGAAATATCAAGAGAAAATGCTGCTAAAACACTGCCATACAACCCAGTTTTCCATACTCCAGTTCCCTGTTTCATTTCTACCATAAATATTGCATATTATCTTGATTGTGGATAATAAAACATGAGAGAGAGAGATGGAGATGGAGATGGAGAGAGATGGAGGAAGAAGCGAGTGAGAGAGACAGTTTTGGTTTGGGTATTCAACCAGCCTCAAGTGTTTATAAAATTATAGAGCTTTAGTGGAACTAAAAATGGGATCCAAATTTATATTGTAATAATGCAGATACGTGTATCATCAAACTATTTTTTCCCTTGGAGTGAAAATACAGCCTTCTCTATTCTCCCACTCATCTCCTGCCCAATGGAGGGGTGAAACTGAAGCTACTTTGCTGTTTTATAGGATTCACCAGAAAGACAGATGCTATTCCTTTCGGTCATCTACACAACTGGCTATGCGCTTTCTTTTTCTGCCCTTGTCATCGCAAGTGGCATCCTCCTCGGATTCAGGTAAGCGTTATATGGCTGGAAACAGTAAGAGAGTTCTAAGTTTAAAAAGCATTTGATTACTATCTATTACCCTAAGGATTCCTGTTGAATAAGTTCAGAAATGCAATAAAATATTTAGTTCAAAACAACTTCAAAATTAAGTTTCACATAAATATTCAGAAAACCTGGCGAAATCTGACTTTAAAGATATAGTTCTGGTAAGTCATTGAACTCTGCCCAAATTCCCAAAAGGCACCAGATCCCAAATGATCTTGGAATCTAAGCAGGAACAGCTTCGTATATCAGTTGGATAGGATACTATCAATGAATACCAAGTCTTGTGGGCTATATTTATTTACCACATTTGTATCCCACCCTTCTCAACACTGAATAGGACTCAGGGTGGCCTTACAGAGGCAACAATTCAAAAAATAAACAAAAACATTAAAAACCAAACAAATTAAAGCATAACATTAAAACATCAATTAAAATCACATAATCAAGGTCATATTCCAGGGCCATTCTGAGTCATTGCTATGTTAATTTACTGCTCCCATTACTGACCAAAAGCATGATCCCAGAGCCATGTTTTTAATATTTTCTGAAGGTCAAGAGGGAGAGGGTCAATCTAATTTCACTGGGGAGGGAGTTCCATAGATAAGGGGCCACCACTGAGAAGGCCCTGTCTCTCATCCCCACCAGTTGTGCTTGTGAGGGGGATGGGACTGAGAGCAGGGGCTCCTCCAATGATCTTAGCCTCTGAGGTGGATCATAGAGGGAGATATGTTCAGACAAGTAAGATCAGCCGGAACCATTTTAGGGCTTTATAGGCTAAAGCCAGCACTTTGAATTATGCTTGGAGGCAAACTGGCAGCCAGTGGAGCTGATGCAACAGGAGAGTTGTATGCTCCCTGCACACCGCTTCTGGTGGGCAACCTGGTTGCCACCAGTTATATCAATTGACGCTTCTTAACAGTCTTCAAAGGCAACCCCACATAGAGTGTGTTGCAGTAGTCTGTTCTCAGTGTAACTAGAGTGTGGACCACCATGGCCAAGTCTGACTTTTCAAGATATGGGCATAACTGGCGCACAAGTTTTAATTGTGCGAATGCTCCCTGGCTACCACTGAAATCTGGGATTCCAGGCTCAGCGATGAGTCCAGGATCATTCCCAAGCTGCGAACCTGGGTATTTAGGGGGAGTGTAACCCCATCCAATGCAGCCTGTAACCCTATACCCTGTTCGGACTTATGACTGACCAGGAGTACCTCTGTCTTGCCTTTGAATTTGTTCGCCTTAATCCAGACCGTCACAGGAACTGAATTTGTTCGCCTTCATCCAGACCGTCACAGGAACTGAACAGTCTCCTTAGGAAATGGAAAGCAGTAATAGAGTTGAACGTCATCTGCGTACAGATGACACGGAACTCCAAAACTCTGGATGATCTCTCCCAGAGAAATAAACTGGTAAAACCACATCTGAAAATTGCTTGCCTACGAAAAACCTGTGAAATCCATGGGAAGCTCCTCAGTCAGCTGGCAACTTTGAGGCACGCACGCACACACAAGTCTAAGCAATTACAGATAGCTTATTTCAGTTAAGGGAGAAAGCCATACTACAAATCTGCCTTCTTCATTATATAGTAACAAACAGCATTAATCTTGTGCCTTTTATTAGTTCTAAGCATACTTAGATTTTACTGTCCCTGATGTTCTTGGCATCTAAAGTAGCTATTATGGGAGCTTCAGAGATTTTTCCCCTCCACCAAAAAAAAGTAGTTGGAGGAGAATGATAAACATCTTCTTAGTTTGAACTGATGGTACTGTTCTTCTTCTATCAGATAGCATTCCTTGAGGAAACATTGAATAACTCTTAACTCAGTCATGATTAAAAAATCTTGTAAGAATGTTCTGCTTTATAACATTGACAGAACATTTGTAGTCAGAGGGAGATGTGAAAAATCAGTTTCTACATTCTATCAGTGCTCTGCTGTACTACAAAGTAGAATAACTCTAATTGCACCTTTAAGACTGACTGATTTTTATGTTAGGTAAAGGTAAAGGTTTCCCCTTGACATTCATTCTAGCCGAGTCCAACACTGGGGTATGGTTTATTCATCGTGTCATCAGCAACCCTACCATTGTATTACAATTCTAGCAGAGCAAAACAAACACACAGATTAAAAAGAAAAAGGAAAAAAAGAAAAGAAAAAAAACACAGAGATTTTGCAAACTTGGTAGCTGATTAAATGTCCTTTGACCAGTATCTGGCCACTTGGAGTGCCTCTGGTGTTGCCGCAAGAAGGTCCTCCATCGTGCATGTGGCAGGGCTCAGGTTGCATTGCAGCAGGTGGTCAGTGGTTTGTTCTTCTCCGCACTCGCATGCCGAGGATTCCACCCTGTAGCCCCATTTCTTAAGATTGGCTCTGCATCTCGTGATGCAGATGGGGGATGGTGCTCATCGCCAATTCTAAGCCAAAGAGCTGGCGTTGTCCGTAGATGCCTCCAAGGTCACGTGGTCAGCATGACTGCATAGAGCACCCTTACCTTCCCACTGAAGTGGTACCTATAGATCTACTCACCGTTGCATGTTTTTGAACTGTTAGGTTGGCAGAAGTTGGGGCTAGCAACAGGAGTTCACCCTATCCCATGGATTCAAATCACCGACCTTCCAGTCAGCATGTTCTGCAGCTTAATTGTTTAACTTGCTGTGCCACCACGGCCACTGTGGATTTTTATGCTAGTATGAGAGGGTTTTCTGGAAATTAGTATTTTTTCTGATGTAATATGGAATGATATTAAAGCCTCAGGTTATTGCACATATTTATAGAGTTGGAGAGTGAAATAGAATGCAGTAAGTTTTCACAAAGAGGCAAATTATCACTCTCTTGCCCTACACTTTTGAAGGTGATGCAGGTTTGTCAGATTTTTGAAGTGATCAGTTTGCTCTTCAAACAATAACTAATCAAAAATACTATGATTCATTTGTTTATAGTTGATATTTTGGCCACAATCCCCAGCAAATATACCCATTATGTAGTAAACTGAGGTATTGTTCATACATACAGTGCATTTTAAAAGTTTTATCTTACGAGACCCATTAGGGATAAAGTTTTCTCCCTAAGGGAGTGCGGTAGCACAGCAGATTAAGCCACTAGCTGCAGGAAAGCTGCAGACTGGAAGGTTCACAGTTTGAAGCCATGAGTTGGGGTGAGTTCCCAACTGTCCATCCTCATACGTGTATTGTAATCTGCTCTGAGTTCCTCCGGGGAGATAAAGCAGAATATATAATAATAATAATAATAATAATAATAATAATAATAATAATAATAATGAGTTGGAACTCAATATAGAAAGCTCTTTGCACCAGTTTTATGTATTTCCCAACTCCTACACATTTTTTTACCTAAGGTTGTCAGGTTAAATCCATTTTATGTTTGAATTGCTATTCAAAAAATGAATCTCTATCTCTCTCTCTATATATATATATACACACACACACACACACACCTACCTTGAATTGTACATAATAAATATTCACTTCAGTTTTCTATACAATTCCCTTATTTTCTTCCCATTTGACAGTCATTACTACCTACACATGTTCAAATGATTCAAGCATCCTGGTTATATTTACAGGCATCTGCATTGCACCAGGAACTATATCCACTTGAACCTTTTTGCCTCCTTTATCCTACGTGCCGCATCCATCTTCATTAAAGACTCCATGATCACTTGGATGTATAAGACAGCGCCTCGTGAAGAACAGTGGGAAAATTTAATCTCTTATCAGGTAGGGTAATGAGGCTTCAAATGTCTTTAGTAGCAATACCTGTAACTGCAATATATTCCTATATGTTTTAGTATCTTTACTTCAAAGGAACCGTATCCTGGAAAGTTGTGTTAGATTTGAGTATAGTTTTACTTCTGTTGTGCCAGGCATCCATGTGCCTCATTTCTCACTGTGAACAATCTTTCATACATGTAGAAATCTCTTTCAATTCCCTTGCTGGAGGCAACAAAAGACAACAAGCAATATCTCATTTTACAAATGTACTCATTGGTTTAAAATACATCAAGGGCTTTCCTATATGCATATTCAAAGGCAGCCTTTAGCTACCCTCCCAGTAATCTAACAAGCACTGCTACAAAAATCCCCTCAAATATCCAGTTGGAAATGTATCATGAGTATCACATCAATTCCCCGATTTTATATCCATTCTCCAGTCTCAGAAAAGCTGGCCATTACTCCTTTTATACTGTTTGCTAAATTTGAAACATAGCCTTAATCCTAGTACTGCTAGCAGAAAGAAGCTGGTCATATTTTCCTGTCCTCTGCACATTCAGGAAGTTGCATAGGGATTTTTTTTCAAAATTCATCAGATCCACCTGTATGAAGAGCACACTCCTTTTATTTATTGCCCTTGGCTAATTCTGAGCAGTTCTTCTAGCTCTCTGTCCATGCTCCATTTTGTTTTGTTGAAGGATGTGAATCAAGCCTTTGTGGAAGGGAAGCTCCTGCTCTTTTTTTTTCTTAGGATCCATGCCAATCCCATAAGTAGCTGTAGGAGGAAAACATACTTGAAAATTACTTAGGGATTGGTTTCATGACTCCCTGTGAATGCCAAAATCCATGGATGCTCAAGCCTCACTATATGTAATGGTATGGGACAATGGTGTCCCTTCTATAGAAAGGCAAAATCAAGGTTTGCGTGTGGGACTTGAGATTGAATCTATGGATACAAAATCAGTGGATACAGAGAGTCAGCTGTATTGTTTTCATGTTGATGTATTTTAATTTTTGTATTATGTATTTTGTGTATGGCATCTTTGTGTGCTATTGTGTAAGCTGCCCCGAGTCCCTATGGGAGATGGTGGCGGTGTATAAATAAAGTTTTATTATTATTATTATTATTATTATTATTATTATTATTATTACGATTATTGTTGTTGTTATTACCTATAGGTAGGCATAGATATAAGAGATGGTGTTGTGGCTGTGTTCTTCTTGTTGTTGTTCAGAATTTAGTCAACAGTATTCAACTTTTTTCCTCACATTATTTTAAGCCAAGGCATTGCTGGGGGAAGGTGGTATATGCTGTATCGCATGTGTCCCTGCTTTCTTATATCAACCCCTGCTGTTTCTGCTAAATGCTGTGTCTGTCTCTTGCAGGAATCACTCAGTTGCCGTTTGATCATTGTAATGATGCAGTATTGTGTGACTGCAAACTACTACTGGCTGTTGGTGGAAGGGATGTACCTGTACACATTACTAGCTCTATCAGTATTTTCTGAGCAGAGAATTTTTCGACTTTACCTTTGCATTGGCTGGGGTGAGTCAGTTTCCCTTTTTCTCCTGCCCCTTCTTCTTCAACAGTGCATGCAATTGTTCTAGTTTTCTTGACAAATGGAATTGAATTTAAAAAGAGAGCATTGCCATTTAATTAAGAACGATTGCTCAATTGATCCCTTTTTATATTCCTGCTGGTAAATTTAGCCATACCATTCCGATAGGATCATAGACAGAATTACCAGTCACTTCCTTCCTTACTTCTTTCCAGACTAGTATATGCCACATGCTATCTACAAGGAAACTACTATTGGGTCCTTCCTTCCTGCCTGCCTGCCTGCCTGCATAGGCCTTCCCTGCTACCCTTTGGCTTCACATTGCTGGTTATAGGGGGGGGGGGGGATGTTTTAAAAGTAAGCACTTAGCTAAAATATGCCACATTTGGTCTACAAGGAAGGTTATTATTCTGGTTTATCTGGGATTATTAGGTTGAAGGTCAGCCAGCAGGCCTATTTGAAGGAATTGGAAAATGGTATTTTGCACTAAAAATCTGCCATTTGAGGGGGCAAGATTGTTTCTGTGCAAAGGATAGCCATCTTGCACATACAAAGACATTTGTAACAGTTTTCCTGTCACAAAATGTAATTTTTGCACATAAAACGTGATTTTCAGGTTAAAAACCCATATGCATTACTCATCCTTGAAAGGACACAATGGTTGAGTGTTCAGATCTCTAAAAATGTTGAGTATGTTTACTGTGTAAGAGGAAAAATCCTATTTGATGCATCTTAACATTAACATTAATCCTTAGTTCAATCAAACAAGTTGCATTATACTTCAGATTGCTCAAATTGTAGTTCAAGGACATATATATATTCCAATAACTAAACTATTTGACAGGCTGTTTGCTCTTCTCAGAATGAGCTTTCTGAACAAACATTCTAGTAAATGAGTTTATTGGTTCAAAAAATAATATACATGATCAATTGCACATTATTTACTTAGCTCGGCCAAATGCACAATGACATTGGTGATGAAAAGATCATACTCTCCTGAAGTAAATAATAAATAATAAAAATCTTGGATGGAAATATGTCCAACAATTCTGTTGGCATTTTAATAGAGCTAGTGGCACATTCACTTACATAGTGCACAGTTATTTAATGCTTGTCCCATTCAGAACAATTGTCTGACATTCATCGAAACAAATGGAAAAGGAGAAGATGAATATTCTACCAGTATAATATTTTCCCTAATCCATCATAAGAGAAAAAAAGCAAATGACAGTCTGTTCCTTCCATTGCTTGAAATATTTCAGCTTAGCCACGTTTGTAGACATTCATTGTAATCCGGAAGGGGATGCTACATGTACTCAGTAGTGGTGATGTCTAGGGCTTAAATCCAGTTTTAGGTCTGAACTAGAGTATCAGAACTAGAGTGCATACAGAGTCAGTGACAATTCCATAAGTCTTCAACTACTACATTCTCTAGGAACTAAAGGCTGGATTTAGATCTAATTATTTCCTCTGAGCTGGAAGCAGTACTTTTCTCTGAGCTGTACTCAGTAATGGTGATGTATAGGGCTTCAATCCAGTTTTAAGTTTGAACTGGACTATCTGAACTAGACTGCATAGAGTCAATGACAATTCATAAGTCTTAAACTACTGCATTCTCTAGGAACTAAATGCTGGATTTAAGCCTAGTAATTTCCTCATAGCGGGAGGCAGGACATTAGAGCTGCATATACATTTTAGTACACTAATCCTTGAATGCATGGGTCTGTGCATTATTTACAATTCTGTACTTTTCACCACATATCTTTATTATTTATTTATTTATTTCCAACATTTCTACCCCATCCTTCTCAACCCTCCGAAGGAGGATTTAGGGCAGCTTACAACGGCAGCAATTCGATGCTGACAACATACAAAACACATTACATCCAATATTATACAAAAGATAAAGATGAAAATACATTTAAAACATTATTATTCATCATATAGCTGAATCCATGTCTGATTTAGCGACCGACGACCCAGTCCAAAGCCTGTCATAGTCTTAAATCCCAACATTATGATTACTGCCAAACCTACTGTCCAAAAGCCTGGTCCCAAAGCCATGAGCTTCTTTCTAAAAGAGAGGAGGGATGGAGCTGACCTAATTTCACTAGGGAGAGCATTCCACAAACTGGGGCCATCACCAAGAAGGCCCTGTCCCTCATCCCCAACAAACACACTTGCGAAGAGGGTGGGACCAAGAGCAGGGCCTCCCCGGATGATCTTAAATTCCGAGGCGGAATGTAGATGTGTTGTTCGGTTACTGTGAACATCTCTTACTAATGGTACAATATTTGCTTCAACCACATTTTGTAGATTTGGAGACTTATAGGATGGCATAGAGACTAGGCAACAGGATTTCTTCAGTATTAAAACCTGATCCTTTTCTTGGATAAATCTTGTTTCAGCCCTGTCAAGAAAATCAAACTCAGGCTTCTGAATACATTTAGATTTTTAATACTAACTTGAGTCTGTAGATCCACACGTCGGGCAGATACAGGCATTACACTTATGAGAATGAAATGCCTATCTGCCAGATATGTGAATCCATAATCTAGTCCTTTTTCTGCAACATATTTTTGCAATGTTGCTATCAACAGCTATGCACGGATCAAACCTTTATGTAACAAATAAGAGATGTACTGGAAACCTAGACTAGAGCCTATGAAGTCATATGCTAAAACATTTCAATAGCTCTTAAAGGTACAGCTAGGTTCCCACGCCCAACCCCTTCTTATCTTTGATCTGTAGCAGGACTTTACACTGTTTTTAATTAAAGAAATAGAGACCAGTGTTTTGTTGTAGCTTGGAAGGGATCTTTTCCAGCCATGTGTTCCTTCTTGGTATTAAATCCCTTCTCCTTCTATAGTTTTGTATCAACCGTTCTTTCTTTTTAATGAGGCACTCAGCTTCTCAACCTGAGCTTGTGTAAAAAGAATTCCAAACTCAGACATTCAGGTGCATCTTTATAAATCACAAACGTGCTTACAATTCAAGGACTGTCGAAAGCTTTAATGGCTGGACTCATTGGGTTGCTGTGAGTCTTCCAGGCTGTATGGCCATGTTCCAGAAGTATTCTCTCTTGACGTTTCACCCACATCTATGGCAGGCATCCTAAGAGGTTGTGAGATCTTTTGGAAGCTAAGCAAGGGAGGTGTATATATCTGTGGGATATCCAGGGTGGGAGAAAGAACTCTTGTCTGCTTGAGGCAAGTGTGAATGTTGCAGTTGGCCTCCTTGATAAGCATTGATGGCCTTGCAGCTTTGAAGCCTGGCTGCTTGCTGCCTGGGGGATCATTTGTTGGGAAGTGTTAACAGGCCCTGATTTTAGTGTTGTTCTTTATTTACTGTCCCCCAGGCAGGAAGCAGGCAGGCTTTGAAGTTGCAAGGCCATTCAGTGCTCATCAAGGTGGGCAAAAGTCAATAAAGAATGCTTCTGGAACATGACCATACAGCCCAGAAAACTCACAGCAACCCAATTCAAGTACTGTTTATACTTGTGTATAAGCCAACCTTATGTATAAATTGAGTTCAGGCTTTGGGGGCAAAATTACAAATTTGGATATGACCTGTGGATAAGTCAGGAGTTATTTTGTGGAGAGGGGAAAACACCAATGCCCACTTGGGGTGCTAGCTACCCCTGGCTGTCATTGTCATTTCCTGCCTAGACATTCAAAACACAGCAGAAGCTGAACCATGACAGAGAAAGCAGAGGGTGTCAGCACTTCTTTTGGGTTTGGGAAGGGGGAGGGCGGATGAAACTCTTGCCTTTCCCCATGCCTTTCACTACTCTCCTCAGATTTGAAAAGAAATAAGGTTCAGTACTCACATTGACTGGTCATAAGTGACCCAGGATTTTTGGGTTGATTTTTTAAAAACTAACATTTCTAGACTTATACATGAATATATAGAGTATTTGTCTTAGAGAAATTAAAATCTGTGCCCCCCCCCCCCCCGATGCAATTTGTTTTTATGGGCATGCTTAATCATTGAAGAAAGTTCAGTTTTTTATTTCTGTTGTGTACTATTCTCAGTCCATTTAAAAGGAAATAATTATTTTATTCTGATCATCTAGATCAGTGGTTCCCAATCTTTTTTTGACCAGGGACCACTTGAATAGGGACTACTTTGACCAGGGACCACTCTCCAACATTAATTCCAAAAGGGTTACAAATCAGTTTTTGGTCAACTTTAGATTTTGTTTGGTTATTTGGGATGCTGATTCAGAAAATTGCATTGGATAGACCACATCAGCTCTAGTTTGAGATACAGAACATATGTCATCAAGTAGTTGCCATCTGCTCACCCACAGAAAACGATATTTAATTATCTAGAGCTGATGTGGTATTAGTAATCTTTCGTGAGTAGTTAGCCTTCCCCCTCTTGACATCCCCATTGCCTTGGCACTAGAAGAGGGTTTTGTTGCCACATGGCTTCGAGGCAATGGTGCAATAATGGTGAGGCCACAGACCATATTTTCGTTCTTGCGGACCACTGGTGGTCCACAGACCACAGGTTGGGAACCATTGATCTAGATGGAAAATACTTGTTACTAATTCAGAAAGGCAGCTCACTGAATTACTTGATACTAAAAAGTTTACAGTTATTAAGCCACTGAAAGATATGGAAAAATCCTCATTGGCTTTGCCCAATGTCTGTTTCAAATATTACTTATTGGAAAGTTTGAAACAAATGCAGCAGAAAGGAGCCTCCTTCCTCCCCTTCCCATTGCTCAGACTGAATCAGCACACCCCCTCAGAATTGCAAATAACAAGCATGTAACCAATTGTCATATAACTGGAAGATAATGAGCTTACAGCCACAGTTGATAGCTCATTAAGGTTTACTACAAAATGGAGCTAGTTAGAGAAACAAGTTACAGTTTTAGCTATGGCACTGGGCACACAGCAAAGAGCCAGAGTGTCTATTTTTCCATATTCAGTTCTCCTTGCTTATTTAATTTCTCAGCCATATTGGCATTCACAGG